TCCCCCAAGATGTTTCTAGATATAGTAATAGCAATTAGCACTTACACTTATATACCAGCCCATAGTGCTGATATACAACACTCTCTGAGTGGTTTACAGTGTCAGCATATTGCCCCAACAATCTGGATCCTCATTTTACCAATCACAAAAGGATGGAAGGCTGAGTCCATCATGACCTGTCAAGACCAAACTCTTGGTGATGGACAGAGTTAGCTTACAATACTGCATTCTAACCACTGTGCCACCAGGCACATATGAGATTTACCTTGAAATCCTATGTTCACAGAAATGGGCATGGATTCCAATTAGCATCTTTCATGCAGAACATAAACCTGTGGCCATTTCATGCCAACTTAAAGATTCCCCAAAAGAAGTTAACAAGAAAAGTCTATTTTTTTCAACTTTCATATCTTTTATTCAGACAAGCAAGTGAAGAAAAAGAAGAACAGAGAGAAAATATTCTCATTCCTAAAGATGAAGTATCCCGTGTTTGTATTTCACATACGGGTTAGGAAATAAGAAACAAATATTGCCCTTTGGTTACGTAATGAAAAACAGAAACAATTATTTTTGTCTCTGCTATTGTACAAGCTCAATTTCTTCACATATAATCATAATTAAAAATAATAGCTCTGTAGTACCAATTTTAGGGATGTGGTGGCTCAGTGGCTAAGATGCTGAGCTTGTCGATCAGAAAGGTCGGCAGTTCGAATCCCTAGCACCACGTAATGGAGTGAGCTCCCATTACTTGTCCCAGCTTCTTCCACCCTAGCAGTTCGAAAGCATGTAAAAATGCAAGTAAAGATAGGGACCGCTTTGGTGGGAAGGTAACAGCATTCTGTGCGCCTTTGGTGTTTAGTCATGCCAGCCACATGACCATGGAGATGCCTTTGGACAGGACTGGCTCTTCGGCTTTGTAATGGAGATGAGCACCGCCCCCTAGAGCTGAAACTACTAGCACGTATGTGCAAGAAGAACCTTTACCTTTGCCTAATACCAATTTTGCACTGGGAAGGGTAAAAAAGGCATCACAGCAAATGCTTTTAAAGATGCAAACAGCATGCTTTTAAAGGCAGCTTTTTATAAGAACATCCCATGGGAATGGAGGCTTAAAAAAGACTTGTGAAACAATACCAGGATTTTCCCCAAAGTTGTGACTTTTGTTAACCTTTGAAAGTTTGCTTCACACTCTGTGAAAAAGGTGTTAGCTAGATACCAAGAATATATTCTCACTCTATACATAGATCACGTTGACTTTCCACAGCTGTTTTTTCAGTGGCTCCAAGCAAAAATTAGGAGCCACAATGTGATGAGAAAGTGATTTTCAATCTTCATGTGAACATTTGCATTGTGGAAAAGAGATTCTTTGGTGAAACAACCTAAAAATCAGACATATTTTTAAATTGAACCTGAGATGGTTCAAATTTAACTGAATTAGAATTAAATAAAATGAACTAAATATTGATAAAATAATTATTTTAGAATTTTACCCTATATCCCCATAAAGTAGAGCTTGCAAACAGAAGGAAAATGGTTGTTTTTATTTAGCTTAGTGGAACAGCTATCGTGCCTCATAATTTGGCAAGAGGAAAGTCAGAATGCAATTCTCCTCAAGGCAAGGGTGAATTGGTCACTGATAAATAATCAAAGGCGGAGTGAAGCAGGAGAAAACGCCTCACATAGATCACGTTGCCTCACAACAAAAGAGATGTGACACCAATTAGTGTTTGATTACATTCACACCTCAAAATTGTTGCATAGAATTGAAAGTTTTGAAACCTCAAAGATCTTTGGTAGATAAATGGCTTGTTTGTTTTTTGAAGAATGTGTGAAACATTTTTATCTTTTTCATACAACTGTCTTTGGAAAGGAAATTGAAATGATGCTGTTTCTTTACCAAGGATGTTGGTTGACGACTGCTTCTCACTCTCATCTCACAGCAGACATTAAAACTAGATTTCACTCTGGGATTTCTTCATATGCCAATAAAAAGAAAAGAATCATTTGATTTCTCTGTAGTCCAAGAAGAACAGCGTTTTTTAAAATGGAAATAGATTTATAAAGTGTAGAGGATCACTCAAAAGTTCACCAGAAAGGAAAGCACTTCTAGACAATAATGGAAGCGAAAAACAGGACAGAGAGAATTGAAGATAATAAAAAGCGAAATGAAATTCAATATTCTCATTTAGCTCTAAGTATGAGCCAAAAGATGACTCTTGATTAAATAAATATTGTAAATATTATGAAGTTATGCCACTTATATTATGCATCAAACAAAATGGCAAACAGTAAAGATTATACTTCCATGTGTGTGAATATGTCTACATCAGAGTCTTCAAACTTGGCAGCTTTAAGATTTGTGGACTTCAACTCCCAGAATTCCTCTTCCAGTCATGTTAGCTCAGGAATTCTGGGAGTTGAAGTCCACAAGTCTTAAACTTGCCAAGTTTGAAGACCCTTGGTCTACATGGATAAGTAGCATTCATTTGAACACGTATTGCTAAGGCATTGAAAGTTTGCTCCACACCTAATTTGGTTGGGAAATCTGCCGAAAAGTGATTTTCTGATAAAATGGATCTTTTCTTTAACCCACACTTATTAACATATGGATAAGTAATGAGCCAAAAAACCCAGAGATGGGGGTTTATTATCCATTTCCTAGGTAAACAGCAACTCGAATGGTCTCTTAATCCACTGCAATGGTTCTTTCATTTGGTCTTTCCAGGCACTTTCCAGGCATTTACTTTGGTGTGAATAGCGGTAGCGGTTTTCAAGAGATTTCCCTTGGTATTCAATCTTCTTCCCTGTTTTATGGCTTGGGCAAGAAGATAGGTGGAATGCTGGAGGGAAGAGTAGAGGTAAACTACTGTCTCCACCCATTTTGTTGGAAGTAATACATTGATACAGACCTTTGTCCATTTTTGCACTTAGTCAACAAGCAAAATCCTTATTGCTAACTCTGTAGGTCCATCTCTGTGCCATATCACTGGGATCTAGGTAGTGTAAGCTATAGATCTCAAGTGTAAAGGACCACCTTTTAAATTAAGACTGATAAGATCTTACAGCTGCTTGTTATTCAATGTGAATTGCAAATTATTTTTGTAACAATCGTAACAATCTATCCTATTGATGTTATAGAGTCAGAGAAAAGGAACAGAATGGAAACTAACATTAATTTTTCCACTGGAAATTAACCAGAGTAAGAAAGGAAGTGTTGATTGCTTATAGACAACACAGAAATGGAAGCATCTGCAAATTTTTTGGGAAAAAAACATAAATAATTCACAGAAGCCAAATGCTATACTGAGAATTATATATTAAAAGGAGTTCCAACAAATAGCAAGATAACATTTTGCTTATGCACTCCATTGTTCTTTCCTTGAGTTGCAATAAAATCAGTTGCAGATAATCATGAATTGCCAAAATACAGTGCTTTTTACCTTGGATTACATAAAAAGACTGGGAAATTCTGGGTAATTAAGTATTTGGACCAAGAACAACAAATATGGGTTTGTTTGTTTTTTTGCTTTGGGGGGATTATTATTTTAACCAGGGTGCAAGGGTTGTATGTGGTAGTGGTTGTGGGTTTAATCTTCATATATTGCCCAGAATCACTTAGCTCTATAAATTATTTAAATAAACAAACCCAATAGGTTCTTTTGTCCTTATGTGATGGTGTGTTCTTTTTTCCCAGCCACTTGGAATGTGACATAACTCATAATTGATCAATTTAACATCATTAACTTGAAAATGCTTGATTGAGTTTAATTAAAAAGATAATTCCTTCTGTAATTGTTTTTCTGATAAGACTGGTCTATCAGGGCAACCTGGTCTACCCAAATATGGGACAGAACATACTGCTTTCACCTTTCAGCCCCAATTCAGGAGCCTTCGCAGACAGTCGCTTCCACGACAACTATTTTGTGTTAAATAAAGGGAGACTAATCTAGCTATTTGAAGCTTTTTAGCTCTCATTAGCTAGCCATACCCTTCGGGGGGAGGGGTGTTGTTCTTCTGTATTTAGTTATTTTTGCTTTCTGTTATGCACCATTTTTGTAGGGCCACAGTTGGCTTGAGGCTCTGCACTCATGTGCATTTCTGCTCTTAGAAGAAACTAGGTTCATAAATAGAATCCCCTCCCAATCCCAATCTTTCTCATCTCCTGCTATAGCTCTCATGTGCTCCTCGGACCATCAAGAATGTTGGGAAAAAGTGGAAAATCCATACACATAAAATTCTATTTATTCACATTACAGTCCAAATGAAAATATTGCTCTTATTTATCAGGAAATCAAAGAAATCAATCTCATCTTTTCAGGTTTCATTCTAGACTTAACCTCTTGAGCAATCATCTATCTATCTATCTATCTATCTATCTATCTATCTATCTATCTATCTCTATCTATCTTTCTATCTATCTATCTATCTATCTATCTATCTATCTATCTATCTATCTATCTATCTATCTATCCTTTAGATCAGGGATCCCCAACCTTTTCGACGCCGCGGCCCGGTTCCGGCGTCAGCTGGGCGCCGCGGCCCGGTTCCGGCGTCAGCTGGGCGCCGCCATCTTTTTTGATGAAAAATTGCTTTTTTTACCAAAAAAAGATGGCGGCGCCCAGCAACCAGCGGCCCGGTAAGGCTTGTTCCGCGGCCCGGTACCGGTCCGCGGACCGGCGGTTGGGGACCCCTGCTTTAGATAATCCACAAATTCATACAAAATCATAAGAATTTGTTATAAGGGTTATATTTATTGAAAGTTTCTTCTGAGAGTACTTTGTGCCAGCAAAACATGTAATGGTGGTTTTTAGATCATTATTAACCTATCTATTCCTGTCTGAAAGAGCATATCATTTTATTGCCTTTAAACATTCAACTCTAGTTATATTATATAATGATTTATTACATAACAAAGCCAAAATTGGCATAACAGGGGGAAAAATGAGGCCATGTACAGTTTCAGGAATTGATATAATACCCATGCAGCAAACCACGCTTACCTTGTCTAACAGCTAAAGTTGTGGTGTAGACCAAAAATAGGAGAATGTAGTTCAGAAAGCTCTGAAAGACAGGCGTGTTGGCATGAAAATCATCTGACAAATACTTGCTGGTTAGACTAATACCACAGATCAGCAGGGATAAGACTTGCCCCAGAGCTACAGATAACAGGAGCTCCCTAAAAGAAACAAGACAGAGAAACCATCTTGTTAGAATAGCCAAAGATTCATTGGTAGAATGATTACTTCCCTTTTGTTGTTGTCCCCCTAGAAGCAATGAGGAGGAAAAGGAAGAGAAATTTTCCTTTTTACTCATAAAACAGCATGAAGCCAATATTAAACGTGCTTAAGAAAATAGAAAAATGACAGCATGAACACAAAACCAAATCTAACCAATGGAACTGATGATATCAGTGTTTTACAAACTTCTCAAATTAGATCTTGGAAAGTGAGAATACTGAGCTCAAGGTTGACTCAGCCTTCCATCCTTCCGAGGTGGGTAAAATGAGGACCCAGATTGTTGCGGGCAATATGTTGACTCTGTAAACTGCTTAGAGAGAGCTGTAAAGAACTATAAAGCGGTATATAAGTCTAAGTGCTATTGCTATTTTCTGACTGAGACATACAAAGTTGTCCAAGCTGACATGTCCTCTGATGGCTAGGTTCTAAATTAATTATACTGCTTGAAAACTGCCTGCCTCCCATAACTCTGTCTTAAACACAGCAA